TTAAAGATTTCATCTCAAACGCTTCCGTTGAGTCTCCCCGTGTGTTGACCGTTAGCGTTGGACCTGACTCTCAAGCTGATATCACTAATGCCACTATGAATGGGTTAGAGGTTTTGAAGATTAGTAACGAAGCTAAGAGTTTAAGCGGTGTGTCTTCGGTTAAGTCTCTTCTCCCTGGAGGAGGATCAGGTTCCAAGAAGAGGGAAGTGATCATCGGTTCCGCAGTTGGTGCGTTTGCAGCGGTTTTACTAATCGCGGTTTGTTGCTACTGCTGTTTAGCTGCTTCGAGGAAGAAACGTTCAACGAGTCCTCAAGAAGGTAACGGTAATGGTAACGGACATCCGTGGTTGCCTTTACCTTTATACGGACTCTCACAGACACTTACTAAATCAACTGCTTCTCATAAGAGCAACACAGCAAGCTGCATCTCTTTAGCTTCGACTCATCTTGGTCGTGTCTTTATGTTTCAAGAAATCATGGACGCTACTAACAAGTTTGATGAGAGTTCGTTGCTTGGTGTTGGCGGGTTCGGTCGTGTTTACAAAGGGACTTTGGAGGATGGGACTAAAGTCGCGGTTAAGAGAGGGAACCCGAGGTCGGAACAAGGCATGGCTGAGTTCAGAACCGAGATCGAAATGCTGTCGAAACTCAGACACAGACATCTTGTATCGTTGATCGGTTACTGCGATGAGAGGTCGGAGATGATTCTTGTCTACGAGTACATGGCCAATGGACCGTTGAGGAGTCATCTCTACGGAGCTGAGCTTCCTCCCTTGTCGTGGAAACAAAGACTAGAGATCTGCATCGGCGCAGCGAGAGGGTTGCATTATCTACACACTGGGGCGTCGCAGAGTATCATACACCGTGACGTGAAGACTACAAATATCTTACTAGACGAGAACTTGGTCGCCAAGGTCGCGGACTTTGGTTTATCCAAAACCGGACCTTCGCTGGACCAAACTCATGTGAGCACTGCGGTTAAAGGAAGCTTCGGGTATCTCGACCCGGAGTACTTCAGGAGACAGCAGTTAACCGAGAAGTCAGATGTTTACTCGTTCGGGGTTGTTCTCATGGAAGTGCTCTGCTGTAGACCGGCTTTAAACCCGGTTTTGCCTAGGGAGCAAGTGAACATAGCGGAATGGGCAATGGCGTGGCAGAAGAAGGGTCTTCTTGATCAGATCATGGATAGTAACTTAACCGGGAAAGTGAACACTGCTTCGCTTAAGAAGTTTGGCGAAACTGCTGAGAAATGTTTGGCGGAGTATGGTGTTGATAGGCCGTCCATGGGAGATGTGTTGTGGAACTTGGAGTATGCTTTGCAGCTTGAAGAAACGTCTTCGGCTTTGATGGAGGCTGATGATAATAGTACGAACCATATCCCTGGGATACCGATGGCGCCAATGGAGCCGTTTGATAATAGTATGAGTATTATGGATAGAGGAGGAGGTAACTCTGGGACAGGGACTGATGATGATGCGGAAGATGCGACTACTAGTGCTGTGTTCTCACAGCTTGTTCATCCTCGTGGAAGGTAGAAGAAGATAAAAACGTTTTGTGAAGATGCAGAGACATACAAGAGACATTGTTTGTTTTGAAGTTTTACACGAAAGAAAGAGATATTTATAAACAGACTTTATTCATTCAGATGATTTATTTCGAATTTCATATAATTTATTATGTAATATAGTGAGTGTTGATGTTTTTTAAAAGCAATCGAGAATCATAATGTGATTATTTATATTTAACTGTTTAAAAGTTATTCTCAGTTCGTGTATCATTTTTCTTAATAAAAGTATAAAGTGTAACGCCTTATACAAAGATTTAGTTTAGCATCTTTATGAAGTTCATTCTCTATCCTGGAAGAGCATTGCATACATAGTTTAACTGTGGTGAGTTGGCCACGTCGTCGTTCAGATTTTTTAGGTACACACGCTTGGCACGTCCGATGTAGAAGAACCAAATAGCAACGACATTGTTTAGATTTTTATGTACATACGTAGGGGACTAGGGGTGGCAAAAGAATCAAACCTAAACCGATCCAATCAAACATAAATCCATCTAATACTATTATATAAGAAGTAAATTTGCTTAGTTGTCAACTTCACCTTGATTTTATGTAAATTTGTTTATTTATCTTATTTAAATAACTTCATATACAATTTATTATTGAATAAAAACGAATTTATTTTAATAATATTATATTTTTGAAAATATGTTAATTATTTTGTATTAAATTGTAATCTTAAAAATATATTTATCTATTATAAAAATATATTGTAATTTTGCTTATTTGTTATATTTTTAATAATTTTATGAATAACTTATCATATAGTAAAACGAATTTCTATTAATAATATTATAGTTTTAGAAAATAAGATAATTCTTATGTATTATATTGTTATCTTTAAAATATATTTTTTATCAAAGAAACTAAAAATTAAGTTAAAATATTAATAGTCAAATATAAAGAACGCAATGCTGATTTATCAACTTCTCCATAGTTTTACATTTTGCTTATTGATCATATTTTAATAATTTCATATATAATTAAAACGAATGTATACTAATAATACTAGATTTAAAAATAAGATAATTCTTATGCATTAGATTGTTATCTTGAACGTATATTTTCTATTAGAAAATTTAAGTGAATTATCTGATTTGTAATTTCTCAATGATATAGATAATTTTGATTATTTTACATATTTTTATTAATTTCATATAAAATTTATTATAAAATAAAAAAGAAATTCCTATTAAAAATTATATTTTGAGAAAATAAAATACTTCTTATGTATTATAGTGTTATCTTAAAAATATATTTTTATTATAGAAACAAAAATATTAAGATAGAAAAAATTATAATTAAAATAAATTAAAGCAACACATTTGTAAAAATATATTTTTAAAAGTATTTTGTTATCTGAGTGTTGTCATTTATAATTAATTTTAAAACATAAATGATAACTTATTATATTGGTTTGAATTAATAAAATATAGACTAATAATAAATTATACGAAAATTATGCATGCATGTGCGGGCAAAACACCTAGTTATCAAATCAAACACAAGTTATTATCTAAACCAATGAGTTTATATAATTATTTGAATTAAACATACAAGTAATATCAAACTACTCTAATCGTAAGATACCAACATATTTTATATATATGTTTGTTCAGTGTCATATGTTTTCTAACCTAATATATAATCAAAAGATTTGAATTAAACAAACAAGTAATATCAAACTACTCTAATTGTAAGATACCCACATATTTGATATGTTTGTTCAATGTCATATGGTTTCAATAAGTCTGAACTCTTATATCGAAACAGCGGTTGTCTAAAACATAAACTAAGTTTCATTAAAAAATAAAAATTTCCAATTTTTTTTTTAAATTGTTTCACTTATTATCAGATTTAGTTCTATAGTTTATCTTTAATTGTGACCAACATGATGACTTTATCTTTATGTTTTAATATATGACACAACTAAACTAATACAAAGTTGATTAAACTAATTTGAAACAGCAACCAAACCGAATACAAACCAAACCAAACTAACTATTGACTTAGTACAATTGAGAAATTTCTAGAATCGAATTAACCAAACCAAACCAAATCCAAACAGAGCTGATAAAATAACATATGAAAACGACGACTATCTAAAACATAAACTAAGTTTCATTAAATATAGATTTTTAAAGTTTTTTGTTTCAGTTATTATCATATTTAGTTCTATAGTTTATGTTTTACTGTGACTAACGTGATGATTTTATGTTTATGTTTTAATACATAACATAACTAAATTAAGACAAACTCGATTAAACTGAACTGAAACACTAACTAAACCGAATACAAACCAAACCTAACTAACTATGATTTGTTATAGCTGGGAAATTTCTAAAACTGAATTAACCAAACCAAACCAAATCCAAACCGAACTGCTAAAAATACGTATCGAAGCTACGGCTGTTTAAAACATAAACTAAGTTTCATTAAAAATAAAAGTTTTTGATATAGATTTATAAAGTTTTTTGTTTTAGTTATTATCAAATTTAGTTCTACAGTTTTATCTTTTATTGTGACCAACGTGATGACTTTATGTTTATGTTTTAATACATGACAAAACGAAACTAAGACAAACTCGATTTAAACTAAACTGAAACACCAACCGAATCGAATACAAACCAAATCAAACCAAACCAAATTAACTATGATTTATTACAGCAGATAAATTTCTAGAATCAAATTTACCAAACCAAACTGATAAAATAACATATCGAAACAATGACTGTCTAAAACATAAACTAAATTTCATTAAAAATCAAATTTTCTGATATAGCTTTATAGTTTTTTTTAGTTTCAGTTATTATCAAATTTAGTTCTATAGTTTATCTTTTATTTTGAGAAACGTGATGACTTTATGTTTATGTTTTAATACATGACAAAACGAAACTAAGACAAACTTGACAAAAAAGAACTGAAACACCAAAAACATATCAATACAACGACTGTTTAAAACATAAATCAAATTTCATTAAAAATAAAAGTTTCTGATATAGGTTTTTTTTTTCATTTATTATCAGATTTGGTTCTATAATTTCTTTTTATTGTGACCAACGTGATGATTTTATGTTTATGTTTTAATACATGATAAGATTAAATTAAAACAAACTTGATTAAATTGAACTGAAACACCAACCGAACCGAATACAAACTAAACCAAATACAAACTAAACCAAATTAACTATGATTTATTTTAGTTGAAATATTTGTAGAACCAATTAACCAAACCAAACCGAACTGATAAAATAACCAATGTATCCACCTAAATAAAAACTTTAAAAAAAAGAATTGATGCGGTGAGCGTGGATCGAACACGCGACCTTCAGATCTTCAGTCTGACGCTCTCCCAACTGAGCTATCCCCGCATTTGTTATTGTAGTAGTAGCTAACGTATATATTTATTCTTAAATGGTTGATTTTCTTTGGATTGGTAGATACGCAGTGCTTATTTAGTATAGCATGTCATTAACAGTGATTAGGTGAATCGAAATTACAATACATGGTGGATGATACAATACAAAAATACATTTCAAAGTAGTAAATTCAACATCTTTTTGTTTTCAGTTAATTATTATACTTTTAGTAAAATCTCCAGTAGAAGCTACTGCTCTCTGGCATTATTCTTCTTTTAAGCCAAGTCTTTTATACGACTTCTTTACTTCCTGCAGACGATTCCGTATCCAGAAGATGCTCCACGGGTACAATCCAGAGTAGCGTACTCAATCTCTGACTTAACACTATCAATCTCTGCCTGAGATTCAGAGAAAATGCAAGTTTTACAGTCATTGGAGAGTAGAGATGAGGTCTTGAAGCTGTCTTCACCACCAACCACTGGCATTGCGACTCCAGGCTTAGCTGGATTCTGGAAATCTGGTTTGTAGGTACGTCCCAAGATTCCGTCAACGTTTGGTGAAAGGTTGAAGAATTTGAACTGAACTTCGAGATGTGCAAAACAGTCATCTGATGGCACTTTGTAGTTGTGGATCCTGTCGTCTTCTTTTGTCACTGGAACAACATTGACCATGATCTCAGCTTTGTCTTTGATCGTCACGATCACGCTGTTTCTCATTGTCACTCTCTCGATCTTGATGTCCTTGTTTGGTGAGTACCTGTTTTTATAGAACACTTATTGGTATCAAACTTTCAAGAATCTTGAAAACATGTTTTTAACTGAGTTTTCGATCGGGCACTAACCATGTGAAGAGAGTTTCTTCTGGGACAGATAAATCTTGGCCATCGAAAGTAAATTTGAGATGGTCGACTTCGTTGTCCCATGAGGCGGATTTAGCAGCTTCAAGAGAGAATTTGTGAGAGTTGAAGAGGAATCCGAGAGCTTGGATCCATGTGAAGTCTCTGGCGCGACCAGCGGGTCTGTGACCAATGAACCTACCATTGATCTGAAGGTCAGAGTCAGAGACGAGGCTGAACTCTTCATTGCTCTTTCCATGAAAGTAGAACACAATGCCGTCTCCTCCAATGAACCTAGGGTCATAACAAGCTGATCCAGGTCTGTTGCAGTTCGGTTTCCTCACTGTACAAAAAAAACATATGATTCATTTACTTGAGAAATGCAAAAAGAGAGTGTGGAAAACTTATACGTCAAGGCATTGAAAAGCTTACTGCGGCATTGGGATTTGCAAGTGGGTCTATCGCAATCAGCGTAGCAGACTTTGTTCTTGGAGTTCATGGCGGTTGTGCTTGGACATTCCTCTGGACATTGAATGTACTTGCGGTAGCATCGTGTGTAAGGGTTGCTACAGTAAACTCCAGCTGCCTTGGCTTGCAAGAAACAAGTTGCAGCTGCTAAAGAAATAACTAGCAAAAGGGTTCTTGAGATCTCCATCTTTGTATCTTTTGGTTTTTGATAAAGTTAATAGTGGTAGTGATGAAAGGGCTGTTATTGATTGTGAGTTTATAGGAGTGAAAAGTCAAATGCTTGCTTAATAAAGGGGTTATTATGTTAATTAATTATTAAGGTCCATGTTTGGGGAAGTGTGTCTGTGTGTGCCACTGAACGAACTTCGCGGTGACACCTTCTGACTTCAACAATTGCACTTAACGTGCTAAACTTCGTTTCAAAGTAAAAGTATGTCTATTTCTCCAACTTAAGCATCGTTTAAGATTAATCTTTGTAATGAAGACAAAACTGATTTGTAAGATAGGATTTATAATGAACGCAAAACTGCAATATCTATCTCTCCTTGATAAATAAATAAAAAACTGCAATATCTATCTAAATATACAAGTTCTTAAAGGTAACAAAAGAAGTAATATAATTGTTAGAAAGAAAGTATAGAATGATCCATATTTCTCGGTCCTCGTAAATAGGACAATTAATTTGTTGAGCATGTGTTATATTATAAGTCTAGATTTTGATACGCGTTTCGAACACATGAAATTAGTTTTTTTTGTTAACGTACATTTATTAATATGTATGTTTGTTTATTAATATGTTTAGATCTAGATGTTTGGTTTTTGGTTGGGTTCAATTTTTGTTTGGTTTTTGCTTTTTCTAGTTAAAGATATATAGGAATCGTTAGGTTGTTTATCATTTTGGTTTGGTTATGTTGATTTTTGGTTTGATTCCAATAACAAATTGTTAAAATTTCGAGTTCAATTTGTTCCTAGTTAAGTTCTTGTTTTCAGATTATTTCAAATAATTGGATAAAATGTTGGATAACTCGTATAAATTTAGATATTTTGGATAAAAATTATTCAAGTGATTTGGTTATATTGGAAAATTAAACTAATTTAAAATATTTTGAATAAAAAGTAAAAGGATAATCTGTTTTTTGGGTACTTCTGTTTATAGGTAAGAGTTTTAGAATATATGATAATTTTAAAACTAAATATAATTAATATTCATAATTATATAAACTGTATTTTTGATATTAGATACCCATTTAGTTTTCAGTTTGGTTATGATTTGGTTTTAGTTTTTTTTTGGGTTTCTGAGATATAAGAACGTTCAGATATTTGTAGATATTGATTAGGTGTTGGATTTTTTTTTGGTTTCATTTTTTGGTTCTGTTTTAGTACTACGTTTTAGGTTTTGCTTAAGTTAGAACACAATTAAATATGAACCAATATATATTTATGAGAAATAGATTCTTGAGAATATTTAAATTCTCACACGCTAAGATGAATTCTATTTCTCATGAAATCGGTAACAATATGCTATGCAATGCAATGTTGTGCAATGCAAAAGAATTTAAACGACTAAAAAGCAAAACAAAAACTAATCATTATTAATAACTAGTGGTATTCCGGCGCTTCGCGCCGGATTCATATGTTTTATTTTCTAATGAATCTGGAATATTTATAATCTTGAAATTACCACTATCTATGAATAAGTTCTTACATCATGTATGTTTCTTCTAATAGATGATTCATATGATGTTGTTGAGAGTTGTTATATTTTGGTGGTCGATACGGATTTCTAACAAACGTTTAATGTGTTGTAGTTAATGAATATTTTTTTCTTTTTGTTGTTCATTAGGATATATCATGTATGCATTATGGAAGGTTGCATTATATATTATTATATTATATCTTCAAAAGTATCTAGTAGAAAGTGGAGGTTTCTGTTTCTAAATTTATAACTTTAATTGATCTTTATTTGTTTGTTGCTGACTTTTGAATTGTAAATTTACTATGATGGATTAATTATAGATTTTATTTTATGTATACTTCTATAGTTTTACAGTCGTATGATTGTCTTGGTTGGATATGAGTGTGTAGTGAAGAAGACGAATAACATGTGACAAAAAAAGGTAACCATTTATAATTTTTACATTTTCTTTTGTTTGTTCTGGTTATGGCTGTTGTGTTAGTGGCAATTCTCTCAATTTTCATTAATGTAGGAGTTAATTGCATGTGGATTTTGGAGCTTAAACTGTTGGCGATTTGAGGTGACTGTTGAAGAAGTGATAGAGTACATAAACATATTTATTTATTTGGGTTAAGTTTGACTTATTGTCCATTTGAAGCTGGATGTTATGTCTCATGTAAATGTATTTTACACCGTAGTTATTTTGTTGGTTTACTATGTTCCCAGACTTTGATTTCTATGTAACTATTTTTTTAATTTATTAACGTGTTTTCTTCTCACATTTGTTGTTATATTTAGTAACTTTTTGTGTAATGTTTTAGATTAGTAGTTGACCATATTTCGTATTTAAAAGTATGTAAAAAATCAGAGAATTCCAACATGAAAAATGACGTAGAAATGCATATGACAAACTATATATACATCCGTAAATCTGCAGAAATAGCTGAAGATCGATGTATTTCTTCTGCCAATCTTTCTTCTTCAAAATCAATCTTAAAAGTCCATCAAACCACATTAACCCTTCATCATTAACCTCAATAAATTTTAATATCTTCTTCTTTAACTTGTGAAAAGAGCTCAATCTTAAATCCATGATCAATTTTTCATATTTGCTAATTCTTGTAATAGAAATTTTCAACTATTTTTACGCTCGTAAGATTGTAAGATAATGGAGAAATCTAAGATAATGAGATTTTGAAAATTATATTTTACCTTGTCGTCGGGCAAAAGTAGGTCAAGATCAATTAGCTTCCAGGTTCTTTTTTTTTCTAGATTTCAGACTTCTGAAACATAATCAATTTCTTCTCACATACGTTAGGAACAACTTCGTGTAAAAAAACCTATATAAAGATGTAAAAGAAGCTGACGATTGATTTCTTATTGTTGCTACTCTGAAGCCGGCAGCTTTGATAGTACACAGTGGAAAAGATAGGGGACATCTCTGAGTTTAACGACGGCTTGGCCTAAACGATTGAAGAGAGGTAATGAAAAGGTACCAGTAGCAAACATAATCACTTTCCGATATAATTTGGGTATTTTACTTTGGACCTAATAAAGTTAATAGTTCTCTTTACATGAGTTATCATCTAGTTATTATTTGAGAAGTGATTTGACAATGTTAGTACACAATTCATTTTCACCAGAAAATGAGGACATAGGTATAAAAAAAATGACATGACATCAACTTAATTATGACATGTAAAATTTTTTAGATAACTTTTTGACTTTTTGAAAAGTTTTTGAAATATATTATTAGCTAATAACTTTTATAATATCACTAAAAATAAAATATGTGCATAAATATTTATTTTATATGGCAAAATTTGAAATATTTTATAACTAATAAATTATATATCACCATTACAATATATATGTATATATAGCATTAATCAAAAAATAAACTAATTATAAGTACATTGTAAAAAAAAATCGCATTAAATTATATATCCTATGTTTATAATTAAATAAAAAAAAAATATATATATATATTATAATTGTTTGTAAATTTTCTTTAAAATAGAACTAAAAAACACTAATGAAATAAAACTTTCTTTTAATTAATGTTTAAATTTTTATCAGCATTTATTCGCTCAATAAGTAAAATAAAATATTTATTAATTTGTAATATATTTTCAGCTAAAACAGAAAGATCTAAACTTCTTCAAATTTATAGATTTAAATATAGATATACTTAAATTAAATATAAAATTATACTTGAAATAAATAGTTATTAAATCAAATAAACATTAAAATATCATTAAAAAAAATGACACATGACATTTTTTCTCTTATGGAGAAAGAAAAGCCAATTTTATTATATAAGATAGTGAATTATTTTATTTAATTAAATAAAGCGGAGAAAACCAGAATTAAAATTGATCTACAAAAAGCACAACTGAAAGTGATTAGAACGAAACCAAACGACAAAGGCGACTTGAATAAGGAATTAATTGATCTAATGAACCAACACTGAAATAAACTATAAACTAAATTGACTTATAAAAAGGGTAGTTTGAAATGGCATGAGGATTATTGAACCTACTCAGACTACCGGATGCAAAATATAATGAATAGTGACATTCTTTGATTTCAAGGATAAATATATTTATGAATTTATAAGTATAAAATTTTTTTATTCTATTAAATGAAACATATATCAAATACAGTAAAAGTAAATATAAATAACGAAAAAAGAAAATTCTATGCATAAACAAAGCAAAATAAAAGGAAAATCAAATAAAGTGCACAACATTGCATTGCATAGCATTACATAGAATGTTCCCCATGTGATAAATTTAATAAATTTTTTTTTTAAAAGATAATTTAATAAAATTTTGTTATTAATATAAGTTAAAAAACTATTAAAAATTCAATAAATTTATTAGCCAAAAATTTATTAAATAAATCTTATGTCTCACCGATTTAATAAATAAAACCTTTATAAAATGTACATAAAATATAATGAGGGAGAGAGAAAGAGAGAGAGAGAGTAACATGGAACATTTCAGAATATATATGTTGGCGCATCATGTTAACACTATTTCATATGATATGTATTTATAATATCTTATTTTTAGTATTCAATTTTACTATCATTTTTATTTATACTCACAATCAACCGTAAACACGATCAATAACCCATTTTTAAAAGTTTAGAATAAAACATTTCAGAACATTTTTTGTGATCGTTTACCAACAAACGATATCACATGTGTTTTTGGTTGACTGGACTGCGTTTCAAGGTTTTAAAACTCTGATTTTACTCTATCAAATTACCCTACAAAACTTAACTAAAATTTATTCGTGCCAGGAGAGATCAAACTGTTGTATTTAGGGATTGAATTTTCAGTGAGTAAAACACACAATAGATTTAGTAATTTTATGATTAAGCTAGGAAAAGTATTTATACTAGTTATCAGGATTGAGTAAATAAGAAATCTTTTAGAGTTAACTTAATTCAAATTAGGAAAATAGTTAGATCTAGGGTATTAGAACATGAATTATAATTTATAAGTTTTTTATTAGCCGACCTTAATACACTAGGTGACAACCG